ATTCTATAGCAGAAACTGGAAGTTTGGGAGGTATAGAAGCAGGAAGGGCAATGGTAGATATAGAGAAAGAGAATCCACAAAAAAAAAAAAGAAAGAAAGAAAGAAAGAAAAACCTCCTGGAAGTGGCAGGATACAAAATCAACCAGAAATTTAAATATGACACAAAAAGTGGAAAAAGATGTCAATCTTACCCAAATTAATCTACAAATTTAATTCAATCCCACTACCAAACATATTTCTCACAGAAATAGAAAAAACAATCACAAAATTTGTTTGGAAGCATAAAAGACTCCAAACTGCCCAAGAAATACTGGGCAAGGGGAATAAAGTAAGAGGCATCTAACTTTCCAAACTCAAAACATACTACAACGCTATGGTAATTAAAACAGCATGGTACTGGCACAAAAACAGACAGACCAATGGAACAGAATTGAGAACCACCCCACCAAATAAACTCCAAAACATAAAGCCAACTAATCCTTGACAAAGGACTCAAGACAATCCAGTGGGAAAAAGAAAATCTCTTCAGCAAATGGTGCTGAGAGAACTGGATATACACCTGCAGAAGAATGAAACTGGATCCTTATCTCTCAACTACTAACCAAAATTAACTCAGAATGGATTGAGGATCTAAACATGAAACCACAAACTAAAAATACTGGTGGAAAACATAGAAAAAAATCTTGGAGACTTTGGAGTAGACAAAGACTTCTTAAAGATTCCCAAAGCACATGCAATAGTCCCCAAAACAGAAAAATGGGACTACATCAATCTGAGAAGATTCTGCACAGCAAAAGAAAATATAAGGAGAGTGAGATGACAACCCTCAGAGTGGGAGAACATATTTGCAAGCCATACGTCAGATAAGGGACTGATAACCAGAACATACAGAGAACTCTAGCAGCTTACACGCACATGCGTAAAATGAATCCAATTAAAAGATGGGAAAATGAACTGAACAATTCTCTGAATAAGACATAGGAATGGCCCAAAAGTGTATGAAAATGTGCTCAATATCTCTTATCATAAGAGAAATGCAAATCAAAATGACAATGAGATATCACTTAATCCCAGTCAGAATGGCTATATTTTAAAAATAAATAATGATAAGTGCTGGCAAAGCTGTGGTGAAAGGGAACTCTCCTACACTGTTGGTGGGAATGCAAATTAGTACAACCACTTTGGAGAACAATAAGGAGATTCCTTAGAAACCTACAAATAGAACGACCATATGACCCAGTAATTCTACTCTTAGGTATTTACCCAAAGGATAAAAAATCCTCAGGTGGTAAAACACTTGCACATCCATGTTTATTGCAACATTATTTACAATTGCTAGGACATGGAATTAACCCAAAAGTCCAAAAATAGATGATTATATTGAAAAAATGTGGCATATGTACTCTATGGAATACTACTCAATCATAAAAAGAAGTGAGACCCTGACATTTGATACAAAGTGGATGAATATGGAAGACTTAATGCTAAGTGAAGCAAGCCAGACTATGAAAGACAGACTTTGTATGTCTCCACTCAATATATACCAATTGCATTCTATAGCAGAAACTGGAAGTTTGGGAGGTATAGAAGCAGGAAGGGCAATGGTAGATATAGAGAAAGTAAGGATAGGGACAATACAGGGGTGGGGAATGGGGCCTGGGAACAGGGGAAGAAAAAAGTACATTTACTTGACCAAAAAATGAAAAGCTATTGGTCGATGTTAATGTATATTGTAATGTCTTTACCTTGACTGATATGCATGTCATTCATGCTGGAAGAAGAAATGTACATTGTGAAGATAAATGTGATTATTAAATATAAATTAAAATTTAAAAAACGGAATGGATTTTAAAAAACTTTTTGTACCAATATAAATTCATATTTTAATTTTTTTTAAAAAAAAAGAAGAACAAATTCTAGGGGTCAGAAACCCTAGGCTCTGTTGCCAGTTCCATGGAAAATTGAGCAGGCCCTTAACCTCTGAGGGTGTCTCTCTGTATATATATTTTTAATTTGCTAGAGGGCACTTGCCAGAGAGAAACAGAGAGACATTTTCCTCCTGTGATTTTGGGCACATATGCACACAAGCTTGGCATGATATTCAAGCCACCAGGTCTGGGACTCAAACCACAGTTGGCCATATGGGAGTCCAGCACCTTAACTGCCATGCCACCTGCTAGCCCCAAAAGATCTCATTTTTGGGGGGGAGGGTGGGGGAGATATTTGCTATAGGGCACATGCACTCACCAGACAGAGAGAGACAGAGAGACAGAAAGCAAGAAATCACCCCCCAGGGGGGATGGCCACGCTGCAATCCCTTCTCCTCCGTTCTCCTCTTGGGATCTTGGGCACGCATGCACACACGCCCGGCGTGAGTTTTAAGCCACCGGGTCCAGGACGCGAACCGCAGTCGACTACATGGGAGTCCAGCAACATAGCCATTGCACTAACTGCTGGTCCCTCTACATTTTCTTAAAGAGAGGTCTCGTGCCACAGTTTAGGGTCGCATTCATTTCCTTGCTTTGTCATCTGTGCTCTGTGATCTGGAGCCTGTCTCTGAGATATATCTTGTAGGACTCCTGGAGACAGGCCATAACTGTTGACCTTAGGCTTGACTGACCTCAGAGACCCAAGTGCTAGATAAAAGGTCCAACTGCATTCAAGAAAGGGAACCTGAGACATCTCATGCTGCAGTCACATTGTCAGCTGACAATGATGATTTACTTCCTGTGAGTGGCAATGTCCTGGCTTTCCAGTTTCCCCACGGGCAACACGAAGAGCAACTTTCCCACAACTCAAGAAATCCTTCTGGTTTTCCTAGGTACTTTAATTTTGACATGTGAAAATTTAAAAGTATGTCTTAATCTCTCTTCCACAGCTCTGTCCATGTGACAGCATATGACATTTTTCCATTTCCTTGGATTGGTTAATACTTGTTAACTAGGCTGTTAGTTTGAAATACCAGATATTTACTAATGTTTCCCAAATGTCTATTTCTATGCAGATCTGTCTTCCAAATTTTAGACTCACAGATTCATTTGTATATTTGACACCTCCATTTGAATATCCTAATGGATATCTCGAACTGACTGTGTTCAAAACTGAGTACCTAATCTCTGGTTTCCACCACACCCATCTCTCTCTTGTTTATTTAAAGTCCTTTCTATCTCAGTCAAATGGCAAATCCATCCTTCTGGTTTCTCAGGTCAAAACCCTAGGAGTCATTCCCAATTATTCTTTTGTTTCAAACTCTACATCCGATCCCTTAGGAAATCCTGCTAGTTCTACCTTTAGTTCTTATCCAGGATAAGACCACTTCTTTCACATCCCATTGCTATCACCTAAAACAAGCCACAATCAATTTCACTAGGATGGATGCAACAGCCTCAAGATGGCTCTCCTGCTTCTCCTTTTTCCTTTCTCAGAGTACAAGTCCGATCACAGCAGCCTCTACTTCAATTCCCTCATGGTTCTGTGTTACTCCAAGAAAATGCTAAAGTCTTTAAGTGACCAACCAGGCCTTGCATGTTCTGACCCAATTACCTCTTTCATTTCATTTCCTGCTGTTCTCCACCTAACTCACTCTTCTTCAGTTACAGAGGCCTGCCCCTGGTGGTTTGGAGGGTCCCATTGTTGATCAACTATGCAAAGCATGCTACTATTTTAGATTTGCCTCAGCTGCTCCCCTCGCCTGTAGTGCTCTGACCCCAAATGCCCTACCTGACTAACTCTGAGCCCTCCTCCAAATCTTTGTTCAATAAAGTAAACTACTCAAGAGGGATCTTTATCTCCTTCCTAGTGATTGTATTTCAAACATGTAGAAAAATCTATGCTAAGCATGGTACTTGTTGAATGAATGAAGTGAATACTTGTGAAGTAAATGAGATAATAGAATTTGAGTTAGTTTTGTATGCTACGTAACAATTACCACACATTTCATGACTTAAAATAATATCCATTGCGGCTGGCAGGTGGCATGGTGGTTAAGGGCGTTGGACTCCCACACAGCTGACTGTGGTCTGAATCCTGGTCCTGGCAGCTTCTTTCTTGCTTTCTCTCTCTCTCTTCCTCTCTCTCTCACTCTGTTCCTCTCTGGTCAAATTTAAATAAATAAATAAATGAAGTTGAATAAAATAATTCTTTTCTTAAAAAAAATGATATCTATTTATTATTTCACACTTCTGTAAGTCAGAAGTCCAGGCACGGCTTAGCTGGGTTCCCTGCTCAGTCTTACAAGACTGAAATCAAGATGTCAACTCATCTAAGGTAGAATCATATCTAAGGGCAATCCCAAGATTAGAGCCAAAATGGGTTTCCAAGGAAGATTGTTGCAGACTTCAGATCTGTGCAATTATAGGATTGAACCATCAATTCCTTGAAGCTAGAGATCCTTCCCTGCCACACGGCCCTCCCTATAAGGTGACAGATTGCCCTTTCATGGCCAGGAGGAGAAAATTTCTCTAACTTCAAATGTCCTCTTCTTTCTGGTTGGAATTTTTTAATTCAGGACTCACCTAATTATGTCAGGTCCAAGGTCAGGCTCCTTTTGGATTAAGCAGAGGGTCCCAGTGTTTGGGGGGGGGCATCATTTCTCCCCCTCCACTCCCCATAGAGAGGGATGAAACTAGTCTCATATTGAGGATCAGGACCCTGTTTGTCCCTGATAATGCTGAGAACAGATAGATGGGTCCTGCTCTTACGGTTCTCTTTTATTACTTAACATTTATTCCTCACTACCTTTAATTAGCACATTATTTCCTAAATATGTTAGGAGCATTGATTCATACAGAATTTTTTTTACAGTAGAATTTATTTCAAACACTACTTTTTCTGCTTTTTTACTTAGCCTAGTCTTCAGCTAAATATCATTCATTATATGTTAGTCTTCAGATGGTTACCTTATTACAAAGCTGCTGGAGTGATTCTTTATGCCTATGTCTATTTACTGATGACCAGAGTGTACTAGTTCATCTTCAGTCAAAGTTCTGTTTGTGTGACAGTTTTTCTTCAGGCTCTTTGCTGACTATGAGAAGGATCCACCTCAGCTCGACTACACACAAATGCTGCTGTATTTTGCCTGCCACCCAGATCCTGTGGAAGGGGTCTACAGGGCCCTCAGCGTGGCCATTGGGACTCATGTCTTCCAAGAAGACAAAACTCTTACTCCTATTGCAGAAAAGGTAATTAGATCCCAGAAATGGACCAACTTTAGAATCTGGAGGGGGAGGCTGAAGGCCTCATAACCGTATTTCACCAGGTGCCTAACACAAAGCTTTCCACATATTAAGTCTTTTTGGGGGAAAGGATTTTGCTATAGGGCATGTGCACTCACCAGAAAGACAGAGAGAGAGACAGAAAGTGAAAAATCACCCCCAGGGGAAATGGCCACGCCGCAATCCCTTCTCCTTCATTCTCCTCTTGGGACATTGGGCATGCATGCACATGCACCCGGCATGAATTCAGGCCACTGGGTCCGGGAGTTGAACCACAGTCGACTACATGGGAGCCCAGTGACATAAGCCATTATGCCAACTGCTGGTCCCTCCACATATTAAGTCTTTAGCAAAGCTTTACTCAATTAGATTAAGAACTAGGGACCAAATTTTTATTGAACACATAGCAAAATTAAAATTTATTCAGAGTTTCTGGGTAAAGTCAAAGTTTGTCCTATAAATAATAGTCTTTATTTTGCATGAAGTGCTGATCCTGACAAACAAAAATGAAGTGGATGTCAACCAAACTATTTGTAAAACTTTGTGGAAATTATTTATGAAAGTTCAGACCACAAACATATCCCACACATATGTGACTTTGAAGAGTGTTTTAGGCCAAAACCTGGCCACTTGGAACCTTCAGGCACTTAATATCACCTGCATTCTGGGACAAAGAAGCTTGATGTCTAATTAAGATGCTAGCTCACATTCCTTGAGGTTTTTAAGTTGTTGGCATTCCCTAGATTTTTAGGGTAGAAAAACCTCTAGGCAGGGTATACTTTGCATGGCCTTAGATTCTTCTCCTACTCTTTCGGGGACAGAGCTGTGGCCCTCCTGATGATGGGATGCTTATTTCTGTTCTACCTTCATGGATACAGAGGAAGAGAGATGCTGCCCAGTCCAGACTATTTAGATTTCCCTGCCACACTTCTATCCTTCTGTCCCTTTCACACACATTTGTCAAAGTAGAGGTAGTATGAAAGAAATAGGAGATTCCTATGACAGCACGTGCATGTGACTTTCTTAGATGTCTTCCTAAAGTTGGGCTCTGAGTACATGTGGACAGGAGGATCTCCTCCTTCCCCCAGGGCCAGAGTACGGTCAGATAGATGCCTAGAATGCTCACAACTTGGGGATCTTCAGCCCAAATATCTGTGCTGCAGATACTAAATCAACACTTATGTAGCAGTAGAAAGTTCAGCAAGGTGTGTTCATTTCCACTCAAGAATGCAGTCTTCAAGGAACTGGTTGACGGTGCCATGGTAATGTAACATTCTATGAGACTGACTCACATGGGAAGGTTCTGGGTTTGCTTCCAGAAATTCCCCTAAACATGTTGGGCATTCACATGCCCACAATCCAGGGCTGGCTGAACTGAGAGTGGATCCTGTAGTGAAGACCCTGTTGGGAGTGCCTGTCTCTCCATCTCTCCCATCTCTCTCTCTCTCTCTCTGTGGGTTCCTCCTGCTCTTGGAAGTGTTTAACAAAAATTGTAGGTGTCCATTGTTTTGTTTTGTTTTGTTTTGTTTTGTTTTGTTTTTGTTTTTGTTTTTTAAAGCATGCTGTCTTCTTAAAGAGCAGGCTGGTTTTAAAATTTCCCAAATTGGTAAAGAGGTATGACCCAAATTCATGGAAACTGCATTTGCCACTTTCCTGAAGAGGTTTCTATATCTTGCTATAGGTTGTGGCTCTTTAATCTAACTCTGAGTCTATGATCATAGTCTGCTAAGAAGTCGTAATTGAATGCCCTCAAAGAAACCTTCCCTGACTTTAAATGACATCAGCTCCCCCCACCCCAACCTTCACACACAAGTGTATGTTTTCATGGTACATGTGCTTCCCCTTACATAAGACTCCTCACATGGTGATGTCCCCCCCCCACCCAAGGTTGGCTTCCTCTCTGGACTCTAAGCACCTGTGGAGGAGATGTCTAGTGAGAAGGCAAAGGTTGAGTTCTGTATCCTCGAACCTACAACAAGACCTGGCACAGGGCTCAGTAAACATTACATTGAGTTAACTATGTAATTAGTTATCTTTATAAGTATTGCTCTTTGCATAGCTGTGTGATCTGTGAGTAATAAAGAAGTCATATTTGTCTTCTTGTAGAGATTTTGTCTAATTGCTCACATCCATGCAGGAAAGGAAGAGAGAATTTTGTACCCAATAGGGAAGGAACACAAAATGACTGGATTAACATGACGACTTGCCAAGAAGAGAAGGTGTTTATGCTTCCTTCTCTCCTGCCTCCTTCCCTTTGCTCTTGCTATTTTCTCCACCTAAAGTACCCTTCATCTCATCTTGAAATGTCTGAGGCCTCCCCATTATTCAAGACCTCAGATAGCCATTGTTACCTGCCAGCTCACTCATGAAACTTCTCCTGAAAACACTGAATATTCTCTCAGCTGGGTCTAGTTATATTCAGAATTTATCTGACAAGGCAGAATACCATCACATGCACACATTCATTGATTTCACAAACATGTATTGCATCTGTGTGTGCTGAAGAACACCCTTGACCTGGGAGTATGCCAGTCAACAACAACAACAAAAAAATAAAAAACAATCCAGGCCAGGAGAGGACAGGCCATAAACAAATAAGTAAGATACAGACCACATGAAATGGTGATAAATGCTATGGAATAGTGCAGGGAAAAATACAAAAGTTGGACTGAGAGTTGTGATGTTAAGTAATATGGCCAGAGAAGATCTCTCTGTGAAGAGACATATAAACAGGCCTGAAAAAGGTAAGGGAGAGAGCCTTGCAGATCTCTGGCACTCAAGCATTTTAAATGAGGACAATGGTGAACATAGAAGCACTGATACAGGGCCCCCACAGCTCATGTATTCCAAGGAACAGGGAATTGTCCAGTATAGCTGCAGAGGAGTCAGCTGGGAAAGTAGCAGGGGAAGAAAGTGAGCTGGATGTGACTGAAGGTCACTGGGGCAACTTTAGTAGTAACTCAGCCCAAGATAGATGTCATAGAAAGAGTCCAGTCACCTGAGGTAAAGTCTACCAGAATCTCTCTAGTTGCTGCATTGAGAACAGACTATAGCGGGCAAAGGAGGGAAGTAAAGCAAGTAATTCTGGCAGGGGTTTATCTATTTAAACCTGCTGCTATATTATTCCTACTTTGAGTTTGGGACAACTTGTTACCTACCTACATGTCCCACAGAGTGACTGCCACATAGCAAGTCCTCAATTAATATCTGTGAACATGACCAAAGAAGAAAGGAGGAAGAGAGAGAAGGGATGGTACAAAGAATGGAGTCCAGCCTTCCTAGCATTGAAGAGCAGACCAGGCATTTTAGGCAGATAAGGGCAATAGCAGGCACTAGGAAGCTACAATGAGTAGGAAAGACCTGAGGGAGGAGGGAGGGGGAAGCATGTGCTAAAGATGTTGCTATAGCAACAGACAGCTGCCTTGTGGGGTGGCAGACAGGCCAGCTGGCACAGAAAGGCCAACACCTCTTTCATCCCCAAACCACTCATTCATCCATTCACCATATACTAGTATGCCCACCCAGGAAGCGGGTCTCCAAGAATAAGTACTACCTGCAAGATTCTTTTAAGACCCAAGGACAATGCACAGCAGAGCTCAAATGTGGGGTGCGAGGGGTTGGGCAAGGAATAGAGCACATAAACACATAGGCCTGTCCATGACTTTGTGTGAACCACACGCTTTTGAAATACAGGAGCCACCTCCCTCCCTCATTCAGACTCACCCCTTGTCCTTACCATCCAGTGTCCAATTATGCCTCTCCATCTCTGTACATTTTCCAGCTGTGTTTAGTTTCCTGGGTAACATCATCCCAGGAAGCCATAATGAGCCTGCTCAGAAATAACACCTCCAACAGATCCATATTCACTCCCAAGACATGCAGCCAGGTCTCTGCTTTTGCTTTCCACACAAATAACAGGAAATCTTCCCGATATTTTATTCTTCCTTGATGTATTTTCTGCTATTTATGCAGATTGCATTCTATGTAGTTCAGACCGTCTGTATAAAGTCACAGCTTCTTGTAATTTAAAAGATGTGCAAGAACAAAGTATTCATCAGTAAAATGCACTAGTCCCAGAGAACCTTTCAATAAGTCACATTTGGAGAAAAGGTTCATTCTGCAACCTGTGTGGTACAGAGTTGTGATGCTGGAATCTAGTAAACTGTGAGTTTTTATCTCTTATGTTGAAAATGCTTTAGAAAAACATATTGGCATAACGTGTGTGAGGCCCTAAAATTCAAGGCACATACATTTCTATTCCATTCTGCTTGTTGAAGCTTGGCCCACATTAGTCCCAGGAACTGACCTTCTGTTCTGCATTCTGATATGTAGGATTGAGCTGACTGAATGATGGATGTGCATGGTCAGAAAACAGGCACCCATCTGGAGACACATTTGTTGGAAGTCCTTGAGGACTGCTTCTGAGAGTCAGCCAAGTGTGATAGAGAGATTGACAGAGTCACAGTTGTCGCCATGCTTAGATGATAACGTGACTCACATTGAGTTTTAATGCCGCTAATAATTGCTCAGTCAGGGGGACCAGCAGTTAGTGTAGAGGCTAGGTTCCTGCTTTTTAAATTTTGGTATTATCTACTCATCTAGCTAACTAGTCACTTGCTCCCACACAGGTTTGGTCTTGGCACAGCACCTTTGCTACACTCAGAACAAAAATTCATTCCTCCTTCACTCACTCAGCAAGAGGTTTTACACCCCAATCTTATTCATTTCACTGTCCTAAATGCTCTATCACCCTGGGAAAATGTTAATGTATAGCTAATATAATCCCCAAGATTCTTAGATGGAAATACAAACATAAATTTTATGTCTCTGCTTGTAGCATTCCCAATAGTTTGAAGTAAAGAAGAAGCTGAAACACACACACCCTCTTGATTCCAAAGTCTCTTACAGTATGTTGTCTCTCTCCTCTCCCCTCCCTATACACAGCTTCTCTCCTTCTTTTCAAGAGTGAATTAATTTTCAACTCAGCAAAGGATATGAAAACCCAGCAATGGGGCCAGCAGTTAGTGTAATGGCTATGTCGCTGGACTCCCACGTAGTCGACTGTGGTTCGAGTCCCAGACCCGGTGACTTAAACTCACGCCGGGTGCGTGTGCGTCCGTGCCCAAGATCCCAAGAGGAGAATAGAGGAGAAGGGATTGTGGCGTGGCCATCCCCCCTGGGGGGTGATTTTTCGCTTTCTGTCTCTGTCTCTCTCTGTCTGGCAAGTGCACGTGCCCTGTAGCAAAAACCTCTCCAAAAAGAAAAAAGAAAAAAGAAAACCCAGCAAGCTGACCATACAGAGCTAGAATAAAGGCAACCTGTCCTCATTGCACTGCTCATAGTCCTTCCAAAGCCCCTTAGCGAAACAAGTACTAGTGGCTACTTTTCTGGCATGTCAAATATGGAATTTACATGATTATTCGGAAAGAACTTGCATAATACATGTATTTACTTAATGCATCTATAGAACTGAATATTTATAGGCATTGGCACCCTCCTAAATAAGCATTTTTTTTTTCTTGGTTGGATAAAGAATCAGAACTCAGGTTTTTCCTGGTATATGGCCACCATTCCAGAATACTCTTATCTCTATAAATATAAATAATAAAATAGTGATTACATGATCCTCAGAAACACACACACACACAGAGAGAGAGAGAGAGAGAAGTCAGCACACACATATATACATAAATACACTGTAGAGAATATGGAAATGGTAAACACTACCTAGAAATAACCACTGATAACTCCTTAACTCTTTTCATTGTAAGTACAGATCTATAAGAAAATGAGAATCCTAGTATATTATTATGCTTTGTTTTTCTTATCCTTATTCTACCATAAGTGTTTATTATTAAGTATTCTTCTAAACTATAGTTTTTATAACAGTATAGTATTTCATCACAGAGATATAATGTCACCATTCCCCCATTTTTGGAATCAGGTTTTATGTTTTTGCTGTGAGTAATGCAAAATGAACATTCATATACAAAAATTATCTTTAGGCATATGAATATTTCTTTTTTTTTTTTGGAGAGGTTTTTGCTATAGGGCACGTGTGCTCGCCAGACAGACAAACAGAGACATAGAGACAGAAAGCGAGAAATCACCCCCCAGGGGGGATGGTCACGCCACAATCCCTTCTCCTCCATTCTCCTCTGGGGATCTTGGGCACGCACGCACACACGCCCAGCGTGAGTTTTAAGCCACCGGGTCTGGGACGCAAACCGCGGTCAACTACGTGGGAGTCCAGCGACATAGCCATTACACTAACTGCTGGTTCCCTAGGCATATGAATATTTCTTCAAGATAAATTCCTACATCCATAATTATTGGGTCAAAGGACAATATTTCTCCAGCTCCTGGTACATAAGAAATTACTTTGGAAGCAATTTACTCTTTGCCATACTCAAGATGTGAGTGCCTGAGTTCATGACACTTGATCAAGTTTCAAAAGTCAGAAGTAAGAATCCCAGCCTGACTCTCTATGCTTGTTTTGCTTTTTATTTTACCCTCCGGGCATTTGGTTAGGTTATCAGTATCCAAAGAAATGTTCTTGACCACTTAGAATATTAGAATATACCAAGTTTAAGAAACTAACGTGTGGGGCCCACAGGTGGCATGGTGGTTAAAGGTGCTGGACTCCCACATGGCTGACAGCGGTTTAAATCCTGGACCTGGCAACTTGCTCGCTCTCTGTCTCTCTCTGATAAAAATTGGAAAATAATATTAATAAATAACTAATCCTTTTTAAAAAAGAAAGAAACTAACTTACTGGGGCAAGGAGGTGGCATGGTGGTTAAGGTGCTAGACTCTCATATGGCCAAGATCTAATAGTCCAAGATTTTCAAGTCCCAGACCTGGCAACTTAAAAATCACACCCAGTCACGTGCATGTGTATATGTGCCCAAAAAACCTCAAGAGCAGAATGGAGAAGGGATTGCAGCATGGCCATCCCCCCTGGGGAGTGATTTTTCACTTTCACTCCCAATGTCTTTCTCTGTCTCTCTCTGCAAACACATGTACCCTATGGCAGAAACCTTAACAAACAAACAAAAGCTAACTTGCCATCACCTTTTTTTTCCTCCATCACCTTTTAATTACAATCAATTTCAAAAGTATGTCCTGTTAAGACTCCATATTCATGTGCAGAAGTCTGGCATTAGATATTCTTATTCATTCCAGTGTCCATTTATGGAGGAACATGATGTACCTGGCACTGTAGTAGCCTCAAGCATGTATGGAAATGAAGAGGACACATGCCACTCTGGTCCAGGATATCAGGATATTGACACTGTGATCTCTGATGAAGTTAGCATGTCCTTTTCTAGACTTTCTTAGGCTAGTCCAGGGCAAGCATCATCATTCCACAGCATGAAAAGTACATGATGAAATTGGTGTTTTTTAAATCTCTCTGTTGCTAGAAAGACCAGTCTGACTTCATGTTCTCTCCATCTCATTTTGCAGACCTCCTTCTCTACTGATACGAGTCAAATTGAAGAATCTTCTGAACCTGAGGAAAGTGTTGCAAGAGAAGAAAAGGAATTAAAAGAGGAAAGGGAAGAAAGAGAACAAAAAGAAGAAATCCCTGAAAATGCAAACACTGAGAAGATTTCCATGGAAACGCTCCTCAAAGTGTTTCGAGGAGGAAATGAAGCACAAGATGCTAACAGATTCGTCAGCCACCTGAAGATAGAGAACATTTATGCAGAGGTTGGTGAGACTGTTTTATAAGGGACAGCCCGTACTGAAGGACAAGTAGCCCTCAGTTTTGAGCATATTTTCATGGAGCTGCTCTCAAAATGTGTCATTGTATAGAAGTTACAGGGTATTTCTCTAGTGATGAAAACTGTTGGGATTTTTTTTAGTGTATGTAGGATTGTAACATTGATTAACTTCATTTTTTTTCTTTTTTAAAGAGCTTTATAAAAGTATTTCAGGACCTAGGTGCCAGGAATCTGGAACCAATTGAAGTTTCTGTTCTCTTGAAGCATCCTTTTACTCAAGACCTGATTTCAAGTTATCCAGACTATAAAATTCCTGTGAGTATTACCAAAGGTGTCCTAATACAGTTGGGTTTAGACTTAAGACATGCTGGGACATTTCTAAGGTAGGATGACAGAAAGAGGAAAGAAATTGTACACAACTGGAGTCTGAGGAAGAGAAACAGAAAGTCCAACCTTCAATACCCAAAAGGCAGCAAGCTTAAGCACAGTTGACCTGGGACTTGCCCTCCGTACTATGGGATATCCTCATTGGTACTGTGGGGCTATCATGGGTCTAAAACAGGAAGCTGGAGGTAGGTGATAGTTAAAGCTGAATGGGCAACAGTGTTTGGGTTCAGGCCATATAATAACTTTATCCTAAGACTGAAGAATGGGAAGAATAGAATCTCTCCTACTGAACAAAGCTAACCAAGAGCATGAGCTCCAGTTCAGTTCTGGCAAGATCTTTGTACTCAAATCCTAGTACACTTTAGCTATGCAGTAGAGATGATGGTGTATACAAAAGGTTGAGTGTCAGTTCCATCAAGAAAACAGTGTGTAGGATGAGGAAACAGAGGACAAAACTCAGGGAGATTGGATCAACCCAGCAGCAGAAAGGAAGAACTGCAATTCAGAGATCACACCGTCACTAAGCATATTGCAGCCACACATGCTATCTACATATATACTGGGGCCAGTCCCAGGTCTTGAACAGCAAGGGCCATGGAAAGCACACATTGACACCAACCCCTTTTCAAAGCATAGCAGATTGCTACAACTCTCTGATACCTGTTTAACAGCATGAAGCTCCTCTATTTGGCTCCTGCCAGTTGTTTACTGAACTACAAAGGGTTTTCTGACTTTAAGATAAAAGCACTTTCACTTTGGTAAAATGTAGGTGGTCTAAGATGCAATTCTTCTGACTTCTGAGGGCTAAATTATTTTTTGCATGTTTCTTCCAATGCCTAGAAATGAAACTCTCCAGACTTACCTATCTTTGTACCTAAATTTATTTGTTCTAAATTACGGATTCAATTATTTTTTAAAAGAGTTTTATAAAAACATTTCAGGACCTATATGCCAGGAATCTGGAGCCAATTGATGGGCTAAAATACTGAATTTTTAAATACTAGTTTTACTACTTATATGAATACTAATCGATACTGATTTCTAACAAGCTAGCAGCTGTTAAGACACACTAAGCACATTCAGTAGTAAAATTCACTGATAACTTTTAGGAACACAGGCTCTGGAATCAGAAAGTCATGTGACTGAAACTCAGGTCCACTACTCACTAGCTACCAGATCTTATCTGATCCTGGCTATCTCCTCTAGTAAATGATGGTAATAATCATTCTTATTCAAAAGGTGGTGGTAAGGATTAAGTGAGATTGCATATAGCATGGTATCTGATGAATGCATAAGTACTATAGAAATAATGACTATTAGAATTACTGTACAATACTGAGTGCCTAGTACAGAGGCCAGGAGTATAAGCCCCCATGGGAGACAGAAAAATGAATACTAAACTCAATTGCTACTCAAGTCAATTTCTGTTTGCAAAACAAATTGTACATGCAGGAATTTTAAGAGAATATTATAAAGTAAGCTAACTAGGTACAAAATTATAAGAATCCGAAACATGATATTTTGTGCTAGAAGCATGGAGGGAGTTTGGCCAAGAAGAAATCAGCTGGGTTTCCAAAGCTGGCCAGAGTCTTGGAAAGTGAAGGAATGGGCAGGAAGTCTAGATGGACTTTGCTGTTGGGATCTGGAAGCAGCCGTGTCCTAGTTAAAAGAGAAGCCTGACCAAAGGTGTCGAAGCAGATGGCATGGAGCCCAACTCCTAGAGGAGCCATCTGCAAAGGGTGTGGAGTACTCCCACTAGACTAGTAAATCCAGTCCAGATTACAGAGAATCCAATGTCACATAAGGAAGGACATAAAGAGCAAGAGCTGTCCATGTCCCTTTCACTTCTCTGTCATGATGGTACACACCTCATGGAAGGCCTGTGTCCCAATTTCTGGACCAACCAAAAGGCTGGGTATGGTGGTGTAGATTTGTAATCCCAGAAACTCAAGGAGGCTGAGGCAGGAGGATCAAAGCTCAAAGCTGGCTCAGCAACAAAATGAGGCCTTCTAAAGGAGAGCTGGGCATGATGGCATGTACCTGGAGTCTCAGTGGGGAGGCTGAGGCAGGAGGATCACAACACAGCAGAACACTATCTTTTAAAAAATGATTAATTTGAACCAATAGGTGGCATGGTGGTTGAGGTGCTAGACTCCCAAATGGCTGACTGTGGTTCAAGTCTCAGACCTATTGGCTTGCTTTCTCACTTTCTCTCTCTCTTTCTGCCTCTGGTAGGTGCATGTGACCATGGGCAAATTAAATAATAATAATAATAATAAAATTAAATAAAACAAATAATTATTTTAAAAAATGATTAATTTGCAGATAAAGTTCTATTTGACATTTTGCCAAGAAAAGTTTATAACCAGCAGATGACTACCCTTGAGAGGTAGCCCCCTGTGGAGGTGTTTTGAGTCCCAGCAAAAACTAGAGTCCACAGGGCTCCTCAGTTGCTCATTTTTCTCATTTCAACAGTTCTATCAGAGGATGAATTACTACTGGCATTTTAGAGAGCATGGCTTCTTTTTGTGTGGGACTTTCACAAATGTGACAGAGTAACATTCCAGGTCCCTACCCGCTATATCCCGGGAACATCTTACCATACATACTGACCACCAGAATCACCTCTGTACATTCCCGTAATTGCTCTGGTGTGCAATACTACCTCCAACTGACAGCCACCAGCCTGGAGGGTGTCTGCCCTCCTGTTAACCAGTGACATAGTACCAGTATCATATCACCTGACACCATGACATCTCATGGCAGAAAGAGAGCTAATTATTTAGTTCATTGCCAGAATGCTTTAAGATATGCCTCAGTCAGCTGCTTCTGCTCCTTTCCACACCTTTCACTTCTCATTCTCGATGAAAGAACAGTAAACTACCACATATGGGACTCATTTAGGTAACTCAAGAAGAGTATATCTATAACTGAAGAGCCTAGATTCTGATATTTAAAACTGAGAAGGAATCTTTTCCCAGTAAGGTGCCCTAGTCTTATTTTTTGTAAAGAGAAAAAGAGAGGAGGAGGAGCAGAAGGAAGAAGAGATGAGAAGGGAAGAAAATGGAAAAAGAAAAAAAAAGAGAAGAGATAAAAAGAAAAAAGGAAAGAGAAAAGGGGAAGGGAAGGAAGGAGCAGGGGAAGGGAGAAGAGAGGAGAGGAGAGGAACAAAAGAAAAAGAAATTCTTCAAGACTAGGGAAGTGTCACACTCATCCTGTCATCACTTTTTGCTCCAGAGATCCATATACAAGAAAATAGATCACACTTTTAAAATGAACTTTAACCACAATGATGTTATTCAAAGATCTTTCAAGATAAGTAGAGCAAAAGCTAGAGCGTGGTTTTTCAGGTTAAAATGTTGTTTGCTATTATAAACAATGGGAAGTGAAGGATGTCGCCTAACAGTCTATGTTTACAAGATCTGTGTTTAGATGCAGAACGGTTTAAAATACACACTTGGGGAAAAAAAAAAGCTGAGTATGTATAACTATGATGATATGTTTTAGTTTTGCTCCTGGTGTAAGGTAAACTGACTTTGTGATTATTGGAGTGGGCTCTGAAGCCACACGGATAGGGTTCACAACTATGAAGTATAGGACCTTGGGCAAGTAACTCCATAGTGCCTTGGTTTCCCCATCTATAAAATAGTGTCAATGACCACACTTACATCTTTTGTTTGGGGACAAATTAAGTGAATTAATGCACATAAAGTGCTTAGCGTGGTGACAGGCAGGTAAAAAGCACTCGGTGAATGTTGCACGTTACAACTTCTACCACTACCCTTCTGCGGTAATTGTGGTGCACAAGAACTAATCCGATTCATGTGAAATTATATGTGAGTAGACTAAGGAAAGAAGGGGCATCTCATGTCTTGAATCCACTGTCTCCTTCTTGGAGGACAAGAAGGGCTTTCACTCACTCCTTAATCCCGAAGTTGTACAGTGCCGTGAGGACAAAGGGGCCATCCTGAAGTCCAGGAGGCCCCATGGGCTCAATACGTACGTGGAGGTTCCAGATTTTGTGTTGGACTTTGTAGTTATTCAGTTAAAGTCACTTAACCTCCACTTCCATAGTCCTCATCTAAGGACATTATTTTCAAGTAAGCTTCCTACATTTTTAAATGAGTTGGTTAAATGTAACAAGGTCAGTGAGGATATTGTAACTGGGTTGCTGGTGAGCAATTCCATTTCCTGTGACAGATATAGTGCAAGTATAACTGAATGAACTATTTTCTCTAACAACCTAGCAAATGTAGTTTCTTATCATGAAACACATGCTGAATAATTATCAATTTCTTTTAGCAAACTTATAAATAAAGCATATTGCCTATGATGAAGATTTGCATTCGTGGGAAATGGTGAGACGTCTATCTTTTAGTGTTAAAATCAGAATGTCACAAGAAAATATCCCGTGAACAAATGAATCAGAGCACAATTACATTAGGACAGTGTATCCATAATTGTAGATATGACTTGAAGTAGACTTTAATCTCATTTTATCTTCAAGGTATCTGACTGTAAAATATTCTGTAACCTTTTCCTTTACTACAAAATTCAACAGTTGATTCAGTGCTTCGTGTTTTCAAAGCATCCATGTCAACTATTTTCTGGTCTCTTAGGCTTTTTTCTCATTCAGTGTTACTGAAAATTGTCCTGATTTTAACTATACATTTAGCCAAGGCTAGTTTAAATATATCTATAACTTACTTTTTTCCCCATGCTATAGAGTGTTAGATAATCACAAATCAGCTCATTCCTTAATCCCTAAATTAACATTCAACAATCAACATTAGTTATTTCAAACATGGTATTCAAAGAAGGCATGTTATTAAAATTGTAGTGGGTAGGACTGGAAGAGTCACTGAGGAGCAGCTGTTCTCTTCCACTGGGTTCACTCAAGGTTGACCTTTGGCTTTAGGAGGTCTGTGTATTCGAAGAACAAAGTCTCTTAAAATGATTCACTCTGATTCCTGGCAGTGACTAATATAAGCAATATGTATGTTATTCAGCTGGAGTCAGCTCATACAGGGAACTAACTCACGTCTTCATAAACAAAATGACCACAGTCAATTGAAACTTTTGCAACTTCACTCTGAAGAAACTTATACTCTTCAATTGCTTCTCTAAGTTTGTGAAATAAAAAAGCTAAAAACTATATAAGCTCAATTCTTTGGGTTTCATATGTATTAGTAGCTTTCCGACCTTGTGATAATATTTCATTTCATTTTGAAACATTTCTGTGACTTATGATGTCACATAATTTAAGTGGATAAAAAGCTAACCATTTTTACCATGGAGGATAGCCCACTTTCAGTGGCACAGGCAGAAGTATATCGATTGTGGGTTCAGACCCCAAGTAGACCTGAAACTTGCCAGGTGCCCAGGCACTCAAGTACTAACTAGACACTGGAGGACTGGGAAGAGCAGAATGTGGTATGATGAGATCCTGTCACAGGTACCTGTTTTTCTCTCATGCATGTGTGTGTGTGTGTGTGTGTGCACATGTGTACACATAATTCCATGAAATAAATCTTTTTAAGAGTTTTTTGCTATAGAGCACATGTACTTGCTGGAGACAGAGAGAGAGAAAGTGAGAGATCACTTCCCGCAGGGGATGGCCACACTGCAGTCTCTTCTACTCCATTCTTCTCTTGAGATTTGGGGCACACATGCACATGCGCCTGGTGTGAATTTCAAGCCTCTGAGTCTGGGGCCCAAACCGCAGTTAGCCCTGTGAGAGTTCAGTGCCTTAACCACTACACCATCTGCTGGCCCTGAAAAAATTTTTAAAAACTTCTTAAAACTATAGGAGTTGGAGTTTTGTTTTTGTTTTTAAATGGAGGAATGGAATGATCCCAATGAAGTAATGTATTTTTCTAAAGTTCCACAAATCTTTAAACAGGATTTATTTAACACTGGAATTTTCCTTTAATAGAAAGCAAATAATATTTTTGGATTCATTAATAACGATGTATGGGACCAGCATTTGGCATAATGGCTATGTCTCTGGACTCCCATATAGTAGACCGTGGTTTGAGTCCCAGACCCAGTGGCTTAAACTCACACTGGGTGTGTATGTGTTCGTGCCCAAGATCCTGAGAGAATGGAGGAGAAGGGATTATGGTGTATGTAGCCCTTCCCCCTCAGGGGTGATATCTCACTTTCTGACTCTGTTTCTCTCTGTCTTTCTGGTGAGCTTACGTGCCCTATAGCAAAAACCTTTCAAAAAAAAAAAAAAAAAGATGTAATCTTTTGGCTTCCCCATTATAAGCCGGTATCTATACAATCACTTTTTTTTTTTTTTTTGGAGAGGTTTTCACTATAGGGCGCGTGTGCTCACCAGACAGACAGAGAGAGACAGAAAGACAGAAAGCGAGAAATCACCCCCCAGGGAGGATGGTCACGCCACAATCCCTTCTCCTCCATTCTCTTCTCGGGATCTTGGGCACGCATGCACACGCCACCGGGTCCAGGACGCGAACCGCAGTCGACTATGTGGGAGTCCAGTGACATAGCCATTATGCTAACTGCTGGTTCCCCTGTGCAATCACTTTTACAAATGTATTTAAGTTAGTACTTCACTTCCATTATTCGATGAGGAAATTGAGATTCCAAGATCTTAAATATCTTTTTAAGTGTACAGTGTGTATGTTGCAGGGTAGAATACAAATTAAATGAAGAACAGTGTCTTCAAAGGAAAAAATAAAACATTCCACTGCCATATATTTCTTTCATTGCCGTATATTTGGTGATCATTCATCCTAAGTCATTAATTAATATTGTAACTTCTCTTTGAATCTTTTCTCTAAGGATATTAAAATGATTCTGCAAAAGGCTGAACATGTACCAGGGAGTGATGGAGAAAGGTCACCGTCAAGACTCACAGAGGAAAAGAAATGAAGACAAAAATGTGTCGTTTTTATAATTTGGCAAGGAATTTTCCAAAAATCAAATGCAACTGTGGCATTTCTTATATATGGAATCATCAAAAATGTAGAAATGAGGTGTACCAACTTATAAAATAAAAAACACTAGAAAACAAACCTACCTTAATCTGGAGAATATTCTATAATAAACTTTGAAGAAGAGCAAGACATCTGAAATAGCATTTGGAAGTGATTCTGAAAATAAAATGCACTAGAGCAAAACGTAGTGTATTCAAAAATAAATGCACCCATAAGTCATGACTACTCCCTATAAGAAGATATTGGGGGAACCAGCAGTTAGTGTAATGGCTATGTCGCTGGACTCCCATGTAGTCGACCACAGTTCGCATCCCAGACCCGGTGGCTTAAACTCATGCCAGAGGTGGGTGCGTGCTTGCCCAAGATCCTGAGAAGAGAACAGAGAAGGGATTGCAGCATGGCTATACCCCCTGGGTGGGGGGGAGGTGATTTCTCGCTTTCTGTTTCTCTGTATCTCTTTGTCTGTCTGGCAAGCACACGTGCCCTATAGCAAAAACCTCTCCCCCCACCCCCCAAAAAAAAGATATTGGGCAGATACAGTGAAAATCCCCCTGGAACTCCACACCGTGGCAGTACTGATATGTACCTCTTAGACTCCTTGCTCCAAGTGTACTAAAATGTCAAGATTCATCCCAGTAGCCAGAATAAGACTGCATAATTAAACTGCTAGTATGGTCATGCTCCTATCATCTACTCATAAATATTTCTCAGTAGAATAAGTGTTTCCCTTTGTAAATAGATCTTGTACAATTGTATCTTTTGGCAAGATAAATTAATGGCTCAAATCCTGTGATACTTTCCTCAGACAGTGTCAAAACAAAAATGAATGATAATGTATTCTCAGTGGCCGAGCTTCTGTGATTATCTTTCTGGGTATCCTCACTGGCTGCTCCTTCTGAGATCCCCTTACTGGATCTTTCTCTTTTATTCAGCCTCTAATGTTGGAAGATCCCAGATATGAGCTTTCTAGAGAAAGCCTAAAATAATTCATCTGTTTCCATGACTTCCTGGGTATCACTGATGTTTGCAATGATAAAATTTCACTTCCTGCTTTTTCGAAGTCTAAACCTTTCTCTCTAAATGTTTGCTTGACTTCCACATGGATGGTCAATACTTCAAATTTAACATGTCTGAGGCTAAATTTTTTTATTTTCTTCTCCCTCAAACCTGCTATTCTGTATTCTTCTCCAGTTTAACCTACTCTGTCCTCTCTTTGTTCAGATCCAAGACCTTGAAGTCATCCTTAACTTCTCTCTTTCTCTCATACCCTAACTGCTGTCCATCAGCAAATCAGGTAGAATTTACTTTCAAAATACACCTAGAATGTGATCTGAGTGACTCTCAGATAGAAGGCTGGACCAAGCCACCACCAACTCTTGCCTAAATTATGGAAGTAACCCCCTAACCAATCATTCTGGTTTTTGTTAGTTCCCCCTATAGGCTGTTCTGACCATCACAATCAGAAGGGACCTTTTATAATTTACATCAGGCCAAACCATCTTTCTGCTCCAACCAACCCTCTCTTGGCCTAGTTTTTTTTGTTTTTGTTTGTTTGTTTGTTTGTTTGTTTGTTTTTTGGAGAGGTTTTTCGCTATAGGGCACGTGTGCTCGCCAGACAGACAGAGAGAGACATAGAGACAGAAAGCAAGAAATCACCCCCCAGGGGGGATGGTCACGCCGCAATCCCTTCTCCTCCATTCTCCTCTCAGGATCTTGGGCACGCACGCACATGCACCCGGCGTGAGTTTTAAGCCACCGGGTCCGGGACGCAAACCACGGTCGACTACGTGGGAGTCCAGTGACATAGCCATTATGCTAACTGCTGGTTCCCCCAAAGTGCTCATTTTGATCATGCCCTCTGCTATTTCTAATCTCACTTCCTGCTATTCTCTCCCTTTCTCACTCTTTTTAAGTGACAAACTCACCTTGCTGGTCCTAGAACATACCAGGAACACTCCTGCCTAAGGACTTTTACACTTGTCTGTTTTCTCTGCTTGGGATGATTTTTCTCCCAGAACTCTGCATAGCTTTTCCTGTGGCTTCCTTCAGGTCTCTGTTTAAATGTCATTTTCTTAGTAAGCTTTTCCTTAACTGCCTACAATAAAATAAGAATAATCTACCACGCCTCACCCTTGACTTATTTTTTCCACTGAACTTATCAACATCTAACAAATTACATGTTTATTCTCTTGTTTGTCACTCCCACAGGTTGTAAGTTTCATGAAATCAGGATTTTTGTATATTTTCTTTATTGTTACGCCCAAGAAACTAAACCTAAAATCATAGCTAGCTCAAAGTTGTGTTAATACTTTTGTACAAAATGTATGGTAATATCACATTTAAATTGGCTACTAAAAAATGAGCTGTATGGGGACCAGCAGATGGCATAGTGGTTGACAATATGGATTCCCATGTTGTCAACTGCTGTTTGAGTCTTGAACCCAGAGGCTTAAAACTCATACTGGGTACATATGCATATATGCCCAAAATCCCAAGAGGAAAATGAAGGAGAAGGGATTACAGAGTGGTCATCCCCCTTGGGGGGTGATTTCTTGCTTTCTGTCTCTCTGTGAGTACATCCAGCATATAGCAAAAGTTAAAAAAAAAAAAAAATAGCAGTACAGGAGCCAGCAGGTGGCATAGTGGTTAAAGCTCTGGATGCCTACATGGCTGACCATGGTTTGAGTGCCAGACCTGGTAGCTTGCTGTCTCACTCTCACTTTCTCTCTCTCTCTGTCTCTTTCTGGTCAAATTTTAAAATAATAATAACAAATAAATAAAGAAATAAATCATTTTTTATAAAAAATGAGAAGTCTAAGAAAATTTCTGTTAGTGGGAATAATAGTCTTTTTTATTTTTAAAATTTATTTATTTATTTATATTACATTTAATCACATGTATCTGGTTTTTGTTTTTTGGAGTTTTTTTGGTTTTTTGTTTGTTTGTTTTTTTTTTTTTTTTTGAGAGGTTTTTGCTATACGGCACGTGTGCTCACCAGACAGAGAAACAGAGAGACAGAAAGTGAGAAATCACCCCCTATAAGGGATGGCCACACCACAATCCCTTCTCCTCTGTTCTTCTCTCAGGATCTTGGGCACACACGCACATGCACCCGGCATGAGTTTTAAGCCACCGGTTCCGGGACACAAACCACAGTCGACTACATGGGAGTCCAGCAACATAGCCATTACGCTAACTGCTGGTCCCTAATCACATGTATCTTTACAGTGTATTACATTTCATTTTCCAGCTACAATTACCATGCATATTGGTCAAGACAAAGGCATTACTATCCACATCATCATCATCAAATAGCTTTTCATAATTTTTTTTCAGATTATTATTTATTCTGATTATTTTGTAATCATTCAATCATTATGTATCATTTGACTTATAAAGAGACTTTACCCAACATGAAATACTTCTCAGACCAGTCCAGTTGAAAATACTATACATGTTATCATCAACAGGTAATAAACCATTTCTGTGTCCCACTAATGTCACGCCTCTCTATTTGTTCTCTTGCTATGCTTCTCTATACTCTTCCCTTCTCTCCCCCACCCCTCCATTCCACACTGTCTTCAGGTTCCATAACTATTTTCACTGCTTTTATGCCCTCCATGTGACACATTTTCTACTTTTGTTCACATGACACTCCATTCCAAAAATTTTCCTCCAATGTAATGAAGGATGGTGACCCAGAAGTGACCCAGATGAAAAAGAAACCCTACCAGAGACTCCAAAATTTCAACATAGCTGACTCATATATGGACAGACAGGGTAATTTTAGCTATTTAGAAGAGGGAGAAGAAGAAATGTCTGAGAATAGAGTTTAAATAAGTAAAATGTCATGATTAGAATTCAGATTCTTAGCCTATCATTTCATTAAAGATTGAACAAGACAGGCACCATCATATTTTAATAAAAACAGTAAAAGCGGGGAAAAATTGCTTGTTTTGATAGCATTTTTTCACAGTGTTGTTATAAAGGAAAATTATAGAATCTCTCTCCCAAAGCCATTAGCTTCTCTAAGCAATAGGAGAGCAATTCGCACACAAGAGGTCTTCTGGCAGGTATGCAACACATCACAGTCTCCTGCGTCTCCTCCCACTGCAGGTCCTGGTGCAGGCAAGGGTTGGAGCTTCACACTGAAACTAGAGGTTGCATGAGGTTCTCTCAGAGAAAGGAAGAAAATACTAGAAGCTCATTTCTCTAACAGCTTTCCAAACCTTTTCATTTTAGTGAATGCCCAACCATCTTCAAATCGTTCTGATAATGTAGCTCAGGATGTCAAAGCCAGTATTGGTTAGGCATACAGATGCACAGACACACACACACACACACACACACACACACACACACACACATTAAATGGATTTTAAAGAGTTTCAAGATGATTGGGATCAGCAGATGTCATAATGGTTAAGGTGCTAGACTCCAACATGGTTGACTGCAGTTTGAGTCCCAGTCCTGGAGGCTTGAAACTCACCCTGGGTGAGTGTGCATGCAGAAAATCCTGAGAGGAGAATGTAAGAAAAGGATTGTGAACTGGCCTTTCCCCGCAGGGGGTGATTTCTCACTTGCCCTCTCTCTCTATGACTCTGGCAAGCACATGTGCCCTATAGGAAAAAAATGTCTCTAAAAATGAAAAGTCCCAAGATGACAAAAGTGAAAAAAAGAACATATTAAGCTTATAAATAACTGAAACTCCTTTGTTTCATGTACTTTAGTTTAACTACATTCTACTTAACTTTTTTTTTTAAAGATTTTTGCCAGAAGGCACATGATCTTGATTAAGAAAAGAGACAAATACTGAGAGAGAGAGAAATCACTCTCCTGAAGGGGGTATGCCCACACTGCAATTCCTTCTCCTCTATTCTCCTCCTGGGATTTTGAGCATGCATATACATGTACCCAGCATGATTTTCATGCCACTGGGTCTGAGACTTGAACCATGGTCAGCCATGTGGGCATCCAGTGCCTTAATCATCATGCTATCTACTGGATCCAGCATTCCACCTATCTCTTTTTTTTTTTTTTTTTTTGCCGCAATCTCTTCTCCTCCATTCTCTTCTCGGGATCTTGGGCACGCACGCACACACGCCCAGCATGAGTTTAAGCCACTGAGTCCGGGACTCGAACTGTGGTCAACTACATGGGAGT